TCCCTATTTTTTCTATTTTACCTTCACTTTTGATACACAATAAGAGAAATTGTCAAACTATCATTTTTTCATACTCTTTTTAAAATTTTAAAAACTAATCACACTCCTTAATAAAAAATTTAAAAAAAAAACAAAAAACAAAATGAAATTGTTCACACACACAGTGTGTGCTCATCGGGTAGTACCCATTAAGATAATTTAAAGTTCGTTCTACTTATAGTTGTCAAGTTTTTGGATATGGTGTAATTCATAATTTGTGAATGATAAACAAATTAAATCATGGACTATTAATATCAATGGTTGGATATGGTGTAATTCATAATTTGTGAATGATAAACAAATTAAATCATGGACTATTAATATCAATGGTTGATCTCAGTTTATTATCTTGAAATTTATCAGTTTTCAACATTTCATACATTAGGTTTTTTTCATCCCAGTATGATACCTAAAGTTATAATTTTAGGACATTTTCATGCATCCATTAAAATGTATGTTAAAACAACGATTAACCTATGACGTGACGTTCACATAAACAACAATTAAGCGACACATGTCAATCTGAGCGCATGTCAATATTAAAAAATTAAAAAATTAATATAAAAAAAATTTCTGTTCTCTTCCCCCTCCTTCGACTCCCCTGATCCCTTCCACTCCTCCCTTTTCACCTCCCCGACCCACCTCCCCCCTTTCTTCCACCCTCTTCACCTCCATTCCCTTCTCTCTCCCCAGATCAACCCCCACCCAACCCCACCATCCATCATCGTACCCAAAGCATCGATACCCGGGGCCGCGACCGCTGGAGTTCGGAACATCGCCAATATTATTGTCGAGGTCCGTCACGTTTTTGGCATAATTTGGGCCTCCGAGCTCAACAATCTGTCGCTCCCAATGGACCTTCTCTCGAATCAGCTTATTGATCTTGTCGTTGAGGTCGCATGTCCGATGCTCCCCGAGGGCTTCGTTCTGGATCTCGGCGACTTTTCGGCCGATTTCCCTCTATGATTTGCTGCCGCCATCTAGAGGCCTCAGCGAGGTCGCGAGACTCGGAGGCGAGGTATGGGCGTCGCTCTTGGCTTCTTCTTTTCTTCGGCTTTGAGGGCAATGAATCGATTGAGCACCGACTGCGTTTTCTCTTCGTTACGAGCCAGTGCAATTAATTTGCAGTAGATATTGATTCAGGCGAGAAGCGTCGTGGAATTTGATTAAACCCTTAAAATAACCCTAGTTGGAGAATGCAAAGCGTGCAGTCTTGGATAATTGGGGATTTTTTGTTCAACCTTGAGAGTGAAATAATGGCTGTTAACCGCGAAAGGTGAAAATTTATAACTGTTGAACTGAACTGATATTAGCAGAAGCTTTGGGTGCGGCGATGGATGGTGGGGTTAGGTACATGCAGTGGCGAAGCCATGATTTCTCGGGACATGGGCGAATTTAAACGAATGCAAGGTTAAAGAAAAATAGCAACAATTAAATCTTTTTATATAGTAATGTCTTCTATAATTAATTAATACAAACAAATTACAATTGTTACCGACGAGGTTTCATGCCATGAAAACGTCGCATAATAGGCTCATTATCAATAAAAGCAAATACATATTTCTCAATGTAAACAAGCATGCTATCACTCAACCACTTAAACTTATCAAACCAACGAATGATAAAACATCGATTGTCGCTAACCTTTCTGGGCATGATGTGGTCTCTAGGTTGACAAGGATCAACTTGGAGATAGTGTCTACGAATTGCTTCACGATAATTAGGTGGATAATCAAGCATTCGACATCTATGTGCAAGGTCTGCAAGAAGATTAGCCAATATTTTATCCAACCCAGTGGCTTCACTTTGTTGTGACCTACTTGGAATATTTGAAGGAGGAGGAGGACTACTCGGAATATTTGAAGGAGAAGGACTACCCGAAATGTTTGAAGGAGGATTTAAGCATTGTTTCTTATAGTATCGTTCCATTACGTAACTGTAAAATAGAAAGAAATAAAAATTCTTAGACTCTTAATTCTAAAGTAGACTATACTATTACTATCCTATGCATAATAACCAAGGTATTAAATATCGGTAATATCGGAAATATCGGTAGTCCGAAATTACGGAAATATCGATGGAAATATCGGGATAATATCGATATCGATAAAAATTACATGGAAACTACGGAAATTGTAAGAAAAACTTGGAAATTTTTATTGAAACTTTGCAGGATGTTTATTTAGTCAATTATCTATTAGTTTATCACAAAAATTGAAAGGAAACGCATTGCATGATGGATTTAACATTATCAAGTTGATTATATAGCGAGCTGGCAAACATTGTGAGTGTAGAAAATATGTAGTAATTAATAAAAGAAATTTAAACACACCGTAATCATTTATATATAATGAATTAATACAATATGTAGACAACAAAATCCTTTTATATAGTAAAAAATTTAAGTGTCGTTCGTAATGTATTAATACAAACAAGTTACAACGTTCATAATGTATTAATAAAAACAAGTCTACACGTGATGTCACACCCCACTCCTAATTAAAAATAGTTTTTGGGTCTTAATTCTTGAGCCTAAGGACCCACGCGCCCTTTCTCCCGTACTCCCTCTCTCATCTCTCTTCCTTTCTCCCTTCACTCCCTCTTCTGCTCTTCGAAGCTCCCCGAGCTCTCTCTCCCTCAAGTCGCCCTCACCCTCTCCCTCTCTACCCGTGAGCAACATCCATACCCTCTCCCTCTCCGACGACACACGCAGACCACACAGACCACACACACACACGAAGACACGAAGCCCTCGCCGGAGCCACCGGCATCGATCCCCTCCATCAGATCCGACCTCCAGGGCTACACCGAACAGATCCAGGCCTCCGACGAGGACGATCTGTACAGCCGCCTCAAGAATCTGAAGCCGACGTTCTGCCTCCGGAAGCCCTCGTCGACGTTCTGCCTCCGGAAGCCGACTTCTCCTTGTTTCTTCTTCAGTTCTCCCCCCCCCCCATTTCTTCTTCGGCTGTCGTTGCGACGACGACGACGGAGGATCCTCGACGATATTATGGCTAATATCGCGATAATATCGCTAATATCGCGATATTATCGATATTAGCGATATTATCGTGATATTTGGCCGAAAACCACTCGGATACCACTTAGAATATCCATACCCCGAAAAACCGATAATATCGGCGATATTTCGCCGATATTATCGGCATTTTCTTCCATGATAATAACTAATCCAACCAACCAACAATTCAATTAATCAAAAGTACTAATATTATAGACAAGTCCATCTGATTTTGCTTGAGCTGATGTCTTTTCATTGCGTCCATCCTGGTGGTTTATTACCAATAATTTTAGTTAAAGATGGCTTTCGACATGCCAATTTATCTATATGTACAATTATACAGACATATGATAAGAGGAAGAAGCAAATTAAAAGCACAATTCTTCTAATTCCCAATTCGTATCAATAATTTCACCCTAAAAAATAATTTCATAATTTCATATCAATAATCATAGAAGCATATGATTCACATCAATAATCAATAACCAATAACCATATTAATGCATTACTATATGATTCTATACCAATTAAATGAAATTTGTATTAAATAATTAATTAGGGTTAGGGATTATACATTTAAGAATTAAAATTTACCTTTAAATGGTGATTGGTGGAAGGCAACGGCTCAAGCTCAAGCTGGAGAGGAGAGTGGCTTGTGAACTGTGAAGGCTCAACAGAAATTAAAGGGGGCTTGGCGTTGGCTTGGCTGCTGGGATTTTGGGGAGCAACTTGGCTCTCTCTGTGTGTTGATTGGTGAACGAACGGCACGGGATAAGGAAAGTAAAGGGGAACGGGGTCGGGGGGGGGGGGACATATAGGGTTTTGGGGCGACACTCGGAAGCGGTCCCCCTTTATAATTTTTTTTTTAATTCAAATATACAAAACGGCGCCGTTTTGTTTTACAATTTTTAAATTTTTTTTACTAGGCCCAAAACGACATCGTTTTGGCCTGGTTTAAAAAAAAAAATTAACAGCAATCTGCTGCTGCTGTGTGCAACAGAACAGATTACAGATTGCCCAGAAAAAACAAAGGAGATGAACCAAGGTTTTCCGGTGAGGCGCGCACGAGGGGAGTGGCGAAGAGCTAGGTCTAGTGGTGTTTCCCAGCGAAGGGAGTGGCGGCCGCCACTCCTCGCCCTCACGTGGCTTCGCCACTGGGTACAAGTTGATCTGGGGAGAGAGAAGGGAAGGGAGGTGAAAAGGGTGGAGGAGAGGGAGGATGAGGATGAGGGAGGTGAAGAGGGAGGAGTGGGAGGGATCAGGGGAGTGAAGAGGGAGTGGAAGATAAAAGATTTTTTTTTTTTTAATATTCACGTAGTTTGTATTAACATGTGGCGTCAAGTTATTGTTCACGTGCACATGCGCATCACGTCACAGGGTTAATAACTGTTTTAACAGACAACTTAACGGATGTATGAAAATGTTCTAGAATTACAATTTTATGTACGAAATTGGACGAAAAAAAATTTGATGTATAAAATGTTAAAAATAAAAAAACTTTAGAATAGTAGGAGCACCAATATTAAACTTCAAACACGAAATAAGTAATTTTTTTTTTTAAAAGATGTTTTTCTTCACATTTGGTACGGTTGGCCGGTCCCAAATTAAAAGACGCATTTTTCAATTGTCGAGAAAAATTGTATGCTAGTATAATTCTATTTTCTGGGTACTATGACATGGGCAATAATGTATATCTGTTAGAGCATGATGTGATAATAGATAATGTGGTATCCCTAAACTACAAATTTTTACCAGTTTTGACTCCTATATCGCACAATTCAAAGTGAAGTAAAAAGTTCACCAGAAACAGAAGTTGGGAGTGAAAAGAGCTGGCGACTTTGCAAGAGTTTCATCTTAATCTTGGATAAAACCTTGTTCGTTGTTGTATTGGTACAAATATAATGAATTAGCATGTGTATCGTTGAAGGCTAAGGAAGCTGCATGACAGAACAAGCTTGAAGCATGGACTTACGTCGATCGAAGACGTGCGATTGACTTACATTCACCAAGTGCTAAATTACTTACTAATGTATGGCTGGATCATGGATGGATGAAAATCCAAAAAGCTTGAAGCATATATACATATATGGTAAAATGCAAACGGATTAGTCTATCTGACTCAAATCAGCCGTCAGCTTCAAACTTATTGCACTCAGCAGCTTATATCTAATTGCTTTAGTACATATCAGTTGAGAAACGCCACTGTAACCTAATCACTTGCTGCCATATATATTCTTTCAAATTTCCCATATTAAGCTCCTCCATACCTGATACTTCAGTCGCAGCCCCATAAACTAAACTGCCATCAGAATCAGATTCAGAGCACATAGATAGTTGATGTTACCTTCCCTTCCACTTGCATGTTACTGGGGCCTAAATTATACTACGTTGCCAACTGCGGCCGAAGTTTCCTCGTTAACCACTTCTTTCGTAATTTAACACCCAATGCCATAAATGTTTTTGCCTTCTTTTCATCCTCTAGCAAATCACAAGCATCTAACACGAGGTCTTCGTCCATGTCTGGTAATGCTTGTATTGCTTCAATCACACTTTCTATTGAGCCAGAGTTCATGTTCGCATCATTTCTCTTCTTATCTGACAGCAACGAAACAGCAGATGCCATCTCACGAAGAGCACTAGCCATGCCACCATCTGCTTCTCGGGATCTTTTTGGATGAGCCTGATTTGAGCAGTTTTCTAGTTGACGCCTTTTCTTATGGCACATAAGGCTCGACTCCTGCACCTCAACAACATCATCCTCAGTGGAAACTGATGTAGATGCAGACTGAAGACTAGTTAATGCTCCACAAAACTTGGCGCCTTCAACTTGATTTTGTTGCTCTACATCTTGACCTGAATAGCAGTCTCTGTCATCAAGACTTGGATCACATATCATGCATAAATCTTTATAATATGGGACAGGTCGGGTCATGAACTGCCTTGCATCAGTATGTTCCTGCATGTTACGATAACAATATTTTCTTCTGACTCTGAATAATGAAACAAAGATAATCATCATGATTATATTGGGAGGAACTCAACGGGAATATTATGTGCAATACATAAATAATAAAAGTCTTCAATTGAATAAATATGTGGTATTTGAATAGATAATTACCTTAATATAATCCTGCCAAACATAATCATCAGCTGTCACCATATGGCGCTTATCATCCCAACAAAAGCCATCTAATTCAAGTAGATTCTTTATAACATTATATTGCCTTTTCAGAGTTTTGTGCCGATTTTTAAGAACATCCATATCATAATTAAAGCCAAACTTAGCATTGAATAATGCTATCATCTCCTTCCAAGCTTGTTTACGAAACACACCATCAACCCTGCTGCCTTTCCGCACCTGTTCTTGCAAAAGGTCAATGAAATAACAGTCCATGGGCGGCTGCCAGTAAGTTCTGGAGCGATTACTAGCTGTGATTTCAGGAACACTTGTAATAGCATGCTGGCTAACATCAAAACATTTTTCCGAGATAGCGACTCCATAATCCTCACCAACAATGATATCACGAAGAGCCTCTGCTTTGTCCTGATTAACGTTCGTCGGCTGTGTGGCTGCTGTTTTACCAGTCTCGCTTGAATGTGATGACTCCTCAGGAACATTATCACCTGGCATGAACAGGTTAAGAAGCAGAATTAAAAACTCCTGGCAAAACAACTGCCCCTAATCATTACATATTTTTAACATTTGCATCAAGGACACAACAATGATTACCTTTCTCTTCGAATGCTGCATCGCCATATATCAAACACAAATCACGATAATAAGGGATGGTTTTTATTCTGAATGACCGTGCATCTGGGTGTACCTGAAACCATAATCTGTAAAGTCTCTTGACATGGTTAAGAGAGGGAAATTTTGGAAAAGAAAGGAGAAAGCTCAGGTGATTTGAGTATACCTTAATATATCCATCCCAGGCATTATTATCAGCAGTCACCATTTGTCGCGTTTCATCCCAACTGAATCCCCTCTGATGAAGGAGAATTTTTACGCCTTGTACAAATTCCTTAGTGTTTTGTGCCGATTTTTCAGAACATCTTTTTCATAGGGGAAGTTGAATTTTGCATTGAACAAGGATGCCATATGCTTCCAGGCACGCTTGCTAAATAAATGATCATCAAATTTATTTCCTTTGCCAACTTGCTCTAACATGAGATCAATGAAATATCGATCCATTTCAGGGGTCCAGACCGTTCTTAGGCGATCACCACCAGTTCGGGCACGGGTACCCATACTGCTGGAATCTGAGTGAGTATCAGTAATGAGCACAAAAAATCACTAAACGGCATTACATTCAGATCAAACTAATTATGATCTCTCCCATATAACAACGAAGCAAGTCTCTGCCCATGTTCTTTGTCTACTTAATAGTGAGGAATTCTGAATGCAATAGGATGGTTGGTTGGTTGCTTCAGAAAAAAAATGATGGAGTGATATCAAAGCATACTATAGTATGTATCTATCTACCTTTCAATCTCAAGTCCCAATGTCTCAAACATACCTCCCTCCCAAGTTCTACTAACTTTTTGCAATCCATTTCTGGCTTACTTTGCCTAAATCCCTTGTAATTTGAAACTTGAAAGTCCCGCACCCAAACATATAGAAGAGAAAATTTCACTGCTGAGTGCTGACTGCACTCAAAGAATGTGTTAGCAGTATTAATTCATTAAGACATATCATCTTAATAAAATTCACGTTTTGAAACTTTCTCGCTCAAATCTGCACACCATATAAACTTACTTTTTATGATAATTGACAACAGGGGAAATGTAATGAATAACTCGAGAGAATAATTGGTCACTACCAACCTCGGAATCGATCGGCAAATCTGGCTGGGGCTGCTCCTGCTGGAGTGCGTTTTCTGCGCGAGCTCGGGGATAAGGTTTTCCTGGATAAGGTTGTATCCTCTTCCTAATTAGAATAGTATGCTAACCCCAACCCTAGTTACACTAACCCCTCATTGTGGGAAGCACATAAGACCATTTCTAAAGAAATGTCAAAATTTTGATAAAAATAAATGAAGATGTCAAATTTTAAAACATAAAATTAAATTTGAATTGATATGTCAAATTAAAATTTTTTTTTTATAGTTGTAATTTAATATTTTAAAACAAAAGATAAGTAAAAATTATGAAAAACATTTATTAATTACTAAAAATAGATTTGACCTCTCATTCCCATTTAATATTTTTATAGTTGTAATGTTCTATTTTACCGTTATCACTGATGTGAACTTTTTGACATCTCATTTAGAGATGCTCTAACATCTTGACAAGAAATTATCATATACAACCAAAATTTACTCTCTACTTTCATAAATGTCAATTTTTATAAAAACTATCAATTATAACAAAAAACTGTTGGGTTTTCTGCTCAAAATTAGGATGATGCAATAAATTAGGTTTGTGTTACCTATTTGGTTTTGGTGTCCTATTTGGGTTTGGTTTTGACTTCTTAGTTAGTTTCCTTGGTGGAGAGATTTTGTTAATTACCTTTTTTATTAGGATTTAGATTTATTTCCTATTAGGATTCTTATTGTAACCTAAGTCCTATGCACTATAAATAGGACCTTAGGGTTAGTGTATTTAGTGTGACTCATTCGTGTGGCAATTTGGTGAGAGTCAATTTGTGAGTTTGTGAGTTAGAGAGCAATTTGGGAGAATCTTCTCCGTTTGTTTTGAGTTCTCTACTCGTTTGGTTTAGGATTTGTAATTGTGGAATTTAGGTTGTGAGAGTTTAAATACTCTTTTGTAATCTCAATTTGTTTGGTGAAATTCTTAGCCGTGCTTCGCTCATGGACGTAGGATTTACGCCGAACCACGTAAATCTCTTGTGTTAGTTTGAGATTGTTTGCTTTAGCTTTCACCTACGATATTGATATTGGTACTTTGTTAGAATTCGTTTCCGTTTGCTCATAAAAGTACAATAAAAACACATCTAAATAGACTTAAATGCCCTAAAAATTAACTTACATTGCCGAAAATTTTATTTCACACCAGTAAAGTTTTATCACATGTAAATATTTCCAGAACATTAACAACACCAGTGCCGGCTCACATTCCTAAAGGGATGATGGAAAGATATTGACTTTTTTTTTCTCAAATTCAAAAGAAATTAAAAGAGCCTTTCTTGTATAAATAATTTTTTTTTTTAGGATCAGGATCCTCTCCTGACCAGATCTATCAGGCCGTTCAATTTTTATCCAACGACTACAAACAGGGGTCTCTCTAAAAGTTATAATAATTATAGTCGTTGGATAAAAATTGAACAGCCCAATGGGCCTGGTCAGGAGGATCCTCTCTATCTGCTCAGGAGAGGATCCTGATCCTTTTTTTTAATGTTAAATCAACTTCCTGATTGGAGTTCTTTGGCTCGTTTCATGACGATTTCATCTAAATGGATCAAAGATGCTTTATTCTTTTTAGTTTTTACTAAGATCAAAACGAAGCTATATAATTTCCGTTATTTGTAGTGCCTTTTATTAATGGCCATAACTAAAAGGTTGATATATTCAGAGAACAATTTTCTTCACAAATGAATTCAAATCCATCAAAGCCTGTAAATTTTCATAATTTTATAAAATAGAGTTTGGAATTTAGGGTCTTTGTTCGCGGAGAAGCTGCTCATTCACTACAAAAGAAAAGGACGAAGCCAAGAGTTTGGATTTTAGGTCTATCGTTTTTAAGTTTGAGGGTAATTGGGTTGACATGAGGGTAATTGGGTTGACATTTACGAAATTGGAGGCTAAATTTTGGCCATATATGATACAAATCCCATCTTGACCTAGCAATTTTTTTTTCTTTTTAGTACAAACGTATAGGCTGGCAAATCTATTTCTTTTTGGTAGAAACGTACAAGCTGAATTAATAAATTAATTGTAAACTCATCATTCCTTTTATTCAACAATACAACTAATCATTTAATTAAGATCAAATAAGATCAGTTGATGAAGTCGTCGGCACAAAGAGTGAATGTGAGTCTTAAATCAGCAGAAGAATGCATAAAAGGTAAAACCCACAAAACCTCACTATGGTAAAACCCATGGTGGGTTAAAAACTCATAGACTAAGGAGAAAAGTGAGAAGTTGCATTAAGTCAAAACTATACATCTTCTGGACACAAGTAGCAAGCTCGCAAGGGTATGATCAACCAAGATAGGTGCCTCATCAAAACCTAGTTAGGTAGCAAAAATCCAGTGGGAAAAAATGCTTCTAATCGTACAAGAAAAGTACATTAAGGTCAAATAAGTATAGTTTTGGATACACCCCTTGAGATTGACAAAACTTCCAAATGAGAACTACAAGCATTAGATATGAATAGGTAGGCATACCAATTCCTCATACAAGCTTCTGGAATGTTGACTTCGGTAGTGACGTCGTGCAGAGATCAACAAGGTTGTTTGAAATCAGATTGCATGACTTCAATCTCCTGATGCTTTGTTGATGTGATGTAGACGCAATATATCTTGGCTTTGACTTCGACTTCGTTGATGTATCATGTCTTGGTCGAGTTGATACATGCGACATAGTCTTCATGGATCGTCGTTGAGACTCAACGACGGATGAAAACAGTAGGTACTTCGAATATGCTCAACAAGAACTCTCAACCATGTCTCACATGTGGCGTAGTGAAGTTGAGTCTTGGAATGATTCTAAAACCTCGTAACTAAGGCTATATTGTGGACCTCCAAGATATTGTGGTATCCCTAATGGTATAGACATAACCCTTTTGGGAATGTACCTTGTGCGGGTTTGATGCGTAACTAGCATCAGCATAACAAACAAGACAAACATCATTCTGAGGATCAGAGGGTCAAATTCATTTAAGATGCGTTGGGATTAGCTCAAATCCGTAGTACCTTCAGGGTAACAAAAATACGTTCTTAATACCAATTCAATGGTTGCGTGTAGGCGCAATGTTGCATCTTTACCAATAAATCAACAACGAATGAGATGTCCTTTCTAATGCAATGAGCTAAGTACAACAAAACGCAAAGTTAAACTCAAATATAAAACCTCAGATTCCATAACCTCTTCAAGGTTTTCATTTGGATATAACATCTGGAAGATCATAGGTATGCTTAAAGATAACACCTTCGGGATGTAGTTCGACTAGTGGATCAAAATACTTTCACAACAATGCTTGAACTTCAAGTCAAGACATAAACGAGTTTTCACAAGATCATCCATCTCAATTCCATCTTCAGGTGCTAGGCAATTTTCTCAAGCTTTTCCTGAGTCTTAATGAGATTCATGTCATGGACATAAACTGCAACTCTAGCAATTCAGAATAAGACTTCATAGTTTAACAATCAAGGGCATAATGTCATATCCCTGAATGATCAAATAATCACTTAGACGGGTATATCATATCCATTGGATTGTTTCAATCCATAAGCGGACGCCTCAAACGAGTTGAAAGAGTATTATGTGGTTTGAAACTATTTGAACCAGTCCATGTATATTCTTTGAGAACTCACATGTCAATCTCCGTATCAATATCCTTATGGAGAAACACTAACCACATTCATAATGTTGCAATCAATCACAGGGTGTTTGAGAGAAACCTTGCACTGTAAGGCGTTTATTATATCTCACTATATCGGACATCTCATTACGCTTCATTTCCCACTAGTAACACTACAGGGTTACCGTGTAGAAACTGTAGATCCAAAACACACTTTGGTAAGAAATTAAACATGGATTGTAATTTCGGTTATCCCATCAGTTCTACGTTATCACTAATCAACGGAACACAATTCGATATTGTTGTTTTTTATTTATGTCGGTATTTACCATATAAGTGAAAACATCATCGGTGATAATCTCATTCCAATTCCATATCTCAACTAAACTAGTATACTGGACCAAGAACTTCAAGTCCCGAGAGTAAGCCAGATTAATCTCATGAGATAGAAATGATTGAGACAGCGATCGAGTATGGATTCATTTTGTGTCGTGACCTTTCTCTTCTAAGGAAATGAATCTTATGAATCGAGTGATCTGTTGTGCTTAGGCCATTACAGCATCGACCAATAAGGCAGCCAAACCATTCTTCAGAGGTGGCATATTCTTCGAGAATATTAACTCAACATCCATTAAGTACTTTTGTCCATGTTTATAGCTAGTATAATGTCTCGTCATTTTAGCTAGATCACATGAATGTGTTTGGAGCAACATTATGAAAGTTAGAATACTTCACACATGCTTATCACACTTGTGCGGTACCGAAATTGAGATGAGACATAATGGGTAATATCTAGGCAAATTTGCGCCATTCTTCAGGAATGTTGACGTCCTTATCTCCCCCTAACGGCGAGAAAACTATCTCTTTGAAGTAACAATTCGTAAAATGAGTGGTAAAGAAATCGCATGCAAGGGCTCTAAAGAGCTAGTGTGAAGGAGAATCATAATCGACAAAGATTCACATCCTTCTTTAAGGACCCAAATTGGTACGTTGCGGCGGCGTAACTTGGTACAGAAAATGCACATCCAAAACGCGTAAGTACAAAATATCAGATTTGTACCCAGTAACCAACTGTAATGCTAGAAATGATTAGGTGACAATAAGCCTTAAATCGGACTAACATAGCTACATACAAGATTGCATAGCCCTAGGCAGAAATCGAAAGCTTAATGCATTCACCAAGGTCTAGGAGATCAATTAAATTGCGCTTTATGATCGCTTTGCGAGACTATTTTTGGGTGAACATCGAGAATTCAATGTTCAATTATAAACTCAAAAGACATGTAATATTTACCGAAGCATCGTCGGTATAAACTCTTCGGCATTATCTAGTCTTTCAGACTTTATAAGATAATCAGGGTGGTGGTCCCCTTAAAATTTGCTATGAGGTTTAGCAACAATGTGTGTAGACAAACATGTGACCATTTTGTCGATACATCAACCAAAACCATAAGTATTTATA